CTTCAGTTTGTACTCGTTTGCCATAGCAGAGCGATTCCAAGATGGTTAAATTTAGGGAAAAAGCAGAAAGAGACTTTTCTGAGCTACCTAAGCTGTTGCAGTTGGGTGACAGCATTAGAAGTAGGCAGAGGTGGCAGCATGACTCATTTCATTATGCTGAGTACTGATGCAGCACTGGAGAGATGAGATCTGCCTATTAAACTGAATTGGCTGCAATCTGCTTTTAGGGTAGGAGCCTTGGTTTCTTATCTTTACTGCCCCCAGGAGGCTTGAGATTATTCAGGGCAGACAGAGTGTTAACCTGGCAGTTCTCACACAAGCATGCCGATCCTTGGCAGAAATTTACCTGGGGATGCAGGTCGACAGCTGGCTGAAGAAGAGCCAGCATGTGCCACATGTCCAATAAATCCAATGGCATCCTGGCCTGTATCAGCAGTAGCATGGCCAACAGGACCAGGACAGTGGTTGTCTCTCTGTACTCAGCCCTGGTGAGGCCACACCTCAAGTGCTGTGCTCAGTTTTGGGCCCCTCACTACAAAAAAAACATTGAGGGGCTGGAGTGTGTCCAGAGAATGGAAACTGAGCTGGGGAAGGGTCTGGAGCACAAGCCTGATGAGGAGCAGCTGAGGGAGCTGGGGGTGTTTATCCTGGGGAAAAGGAGGCTCAGGGGGGACCTTATCCTTCTCTACAGTCACCTGAAAGGAGGCTGTAGTGAGCTGGGGGTCTCTTCTCCAAGGTAACAAGTGACAGAGGGGAAATGGCCTCAAGTGTGCAAGGGCACGTTTAAATTAGATATCAGGAAAAATTTTCTCTTGGGAGGAGTGGTCAAGCGTAGGAACAAGATGCCCAGGGAAATGGTGGAGTCACCGTCCCTGGAGGTATGTAAAGAGTGTGTAGATCTGGCACTTGGGGACACTGGACAAGTCCAGTAGTGGACTTGGCAGTGCTGGGTTAATGGTTGAACTCAGTGATCCTAGAGAGATTTTACAACCTTAAAAATTTTATGATTCTATACCCCTATTACTGTGTTAACATTAGTACACAGTAATTTAGGCATTGCTAAGGACTATCACTTCTCTAGCTTTTCTTTTGCTGTTCAGCTTTTAACAGAATATATTTTATCAGCTTTCTGGAAACCTTCTATACCTGACAGTATGCTGCAATATTCCTGCTAGGTCAAGAAGAGAGTATTGCACTTCAAGGAAAAAATGAACACTTACAAGTCTGTTGGGGGATGGCAATGAGAATAAGCACAAGTCTACAACACATGACCTTCAAAGAATGACCAAGTGAATTGGTATGTCTGAGAGCAAGCAACAGAAGACTGAACACACTTGAATTAACAGTCCTTAAGAGCATAAAAGGCTGCTTCAGAAAGAAAAAGGATGATCTGTTCTCTGTCCATGGTGATTAAGTAAAGGAATACTGAGCTAAAGCTGCAGCAAGAAGATTTGCTCTAAGTCCTAGTGTGAACTTGGCATACATAAGAAATCAATTACCACCTGCTCTCTATTGGCTCAGACATTCTAGCCAGGTTCTTCTGGGTCTGTAGGCTGGTTCTTTGAAACACATTACTAAAGCAGTTATTTTTTATTATCTCAATTTTGAAAATTCTTTGGCCTTTTAATCCAATTATGGCCCTGTTTTATTAGGTATCCTATAAACACAAAAGTAGTCCCTGCCCTGAGGGGACAACTCAAAGTGTTAAAAACCACTATCTTTGATGTTTTGCTTTATGGTAGGACTTAAAAGACACCAGGCATAACTGAAGCCCCTCTGTGCAAGACAGAGTGTCCAGACCTGACCAGCAGAGCTATCCGAGGATATTGCAGCTAGAAGGGCTCTGCTCTGTAATGCTGTGGAACAAGGTCTCTTCAGGTTCTCACGCAACCATTGCTCATCATGGGGCAGTATAATTGCAGTAGATGGTGATCCTATTTTAGGCTTTATTTTACATAAAGTGTTAAGTTAAGTCATCTTTTACTTTGGAAGAACCTGTGAAAAATAGATTGGTTAAAACATAATCCATGCAACAAGAATAAGTCTCCACTCTGTTGCCACTCAGAATGGAAAAGATGCAAAATTTAAAACTAAACAAACCCACTCATAACTTTGGTGGCTTCTTCAGATGCTTCTCACCATTTCTTGACATCTGCTTGGTTATATTTCTGCAAAGTGTTGAAGACCCATAGTGAAAATTGTTTGTTTTTGTTTCAAGGGGGAAAATTTAATCTGGATAAGTTTTATTTTTGTAAATAAGGAATTTTACTATATAGTTGATTGGAGAGGGTTACCAAGTGCTTCAGCTAAGAAATTTAGTGAAGAATAGTATTAAGTCATCATTGTTGAGATATTAAAACAAAAATTATTGTCATCATGCTTTCCACTTATTCAGCATCTCTCATTTAAATCTTGTAATGCTGAAAAAAAAATTCTAGAAGTCCTGCAAGAGTACAGAGGCACCAAATATATTCTTACAATATATTCTCACTTGAAGAGAACTTGAAAAGACAGAACAGAAAGAAATTCTTACAGATGTTCTTAAGAGTGAAGAACAAAAGATCCAGTAAGAAGGTTTTTTGCTTGTATTCCTAAACTCCCAATTTCTGACTTTTCTTTCAGAACTATGGTTGCTGTTCTGCTGCTTTAGGAAAATCTATCTAAAACAAGTTTCTATCCAACTTGGTGGAGAGGATTTGTAGTTTCCTGTGTAAGTGTAGAGAAATAAAATAATTTATTTCCAAAGTCAAGCGTATTTACATGCAGAGAAGAACTACTTCCTTAAAGTTTGGTATTAGAAAAGGTAGAAAAGTCTTTGAACTATGGACTAAAATTTCCTCCCCATTGCAGGCTCTTATTGTCTAATCCACTCCCAAATGATCCCTGTGCCAGAGCAATCTGTGTCTGGAAAGTAAGTTTTAAGGATACTTTTACAAAATATGGATGCATTTAAATTCTGCAGACCTGAAAGTCATGGGTTATATTTACAATACATAGGGTGTATGCAGAACATTGAGTGAGGAAATAACAGGCTTTCTGCTTCATTTATTCTGAGAAAGCAACTAATTTCTGCTGTAAATATGCTTTTGCATGACTGATGGTTACATTGACTAGTGCTCAAAGAGAAATACATATCATTTGTTTCTGATATTAACTCAGTTTGACTTTAGAATGAAGTGAATGCTTGATTTTTAACTGCAACAAACAAGAGCTTAACAAGAAAAAGAATGAAAAAAAACTCTTTCTAGATTTCAAGTTTGAGCTGGTTTGACTGAAATTGCTAAGAATATGGTAACTCAACTTTGAAGATTTTTAGTTTGTCTTTGCGCTTATAAGGTGTCCATATTGATGTAGATGATTTTGTCACTTTGGGCCTTTACACTAGGATAGAAACTGCATTTTTTTCTATTTGCAGAAAACACAGTGCTAAGAGAGACCACAAAGAACTAAGAGGGAAGATAAGAATTTGGAGAAGTCGTGACAAAACACTGAGTGACATGAAAGTGTGGGATGTGTTTGAGTAAGGATGAGTAAAGGTTCTGTTCTTACACAGGAGGAATCAGCTCCACAAGCACAGGATAGATTTCAACATTAGTAACAGCTCTTCAGAAAAGGACCTGGCAGATGTTGTAGATCACAAGCTGAGCATGAGGCAACAGTTGCAAAAAAAGGAAAATGCTCTAGTACAGTGTACAAGGAGCCAGCCTGGGAAGGCACATCAGCTGCTCTTTCTGCTCCACTCCAACTCAGGGCCTGGGAGGTGGAATAAGACCTCTACTGAGGTTGCTTTTGGTTCTTTTCTGTGATTCAGGACATCATTGTACCTGAATGGTCTTATGGGTTCTTCATTACAGTGGTAATGTATATTATGGCCAGTATTTTCAAATGTCGGTATTTAATCAGAGGCATGTATGGAACAATGTTCTCATCAGCCACGTGCATGGTTTAATTCCCACAGCTTGTTTTTAAGTTTTGCACATGCCATGGGTAGAGAAGAACAGAAATACCAACATGACTTCAGTTCCCTGACTGCAACAGGTGCTCCAATACAGATTCCTGAGACCCTAAATTAAGCAGTGATAGGATAATCTGCTACTAATACCTAGTAGCTAAGATTGGATTAAAATCCGAAGCATGCAGTTAAGTGTTTCTTCCAGCTTCTGTATTAATAACAATAAATTCCAGATGGTATTGTTATCCTTTTAAATGATCAGTCAATTGTTGTGTCATTTTCTGAACTGTAGCCACAGTCTTCACAGTTCAATTGCATGTGGTGTGAAAAGTAATTCTGTATTATCTTTTTGGAAGTGTCCAGAAGAACTAGTGAATACTTTTGCTGTGGTTGTTAACGCTGACAATCTTAACAAAACTGTCCGGCTGTCATGAAAATCTCTCAGGTGCAGACTGAATTTTCTGGAAACAAGCAGCTCCACTTCACAGCAGCCAGTAAGCCAGAGACTAACATGGTCATCTAAATTAACACTGAATGAAAACCTGGGTTTCGTACTTCCCAGGTGCATTTTGGAATTGCTGGCTGTCCATTTAAACACCAACAGCAGATGTTCCACAGTGCATTGCATATTCACTGTGGTAGAAATGGCTTCTACATCATGGCATTTGAGGAACTGGGTTGGAGTATGTGAGGTGAAGGTTTAGGACTTTGCTGCAAGCCACATGCTAAAAATGAATTTTCTGTTTGATAGGTGAGCACCTGAGCATTCAATATCTTAACATTTCTAGATGGCTTTCTCTGTTAAGTGTTAACTTCTTTTTTCTCTCAGAGGAATTATGAAACAGGAACTCATGTAAGAAATTGTTTTTGCCTTTTGCAAAAAAAACCTGGTTTTTAAATCAATAAATGCAATTTTTTTGCCTGTCAGTGGTTGGATATGGTACACTACTCCAGATAATGTTGCAAACTTTATGTTACATTTCTGTACCATTGTTCACTCTCTATTCCCGTTTCTGTCTTTTTTTCCTTTTTTTTCCTTCTTCTCTAGCCTTTCCTTGTATAAAGATGGGAAGCCATCACCCTCCATGCAACCTGCAGCAAGTCCCGTTCTCAAAGGCTTGAGTTGACTGGTGCCAGCAGGGTAAGCAGTTCGCCTCCCCCACCCTCTCATACATACCAGTCTGCATTTAGCAGAAGTGGAGTTCATTTCCCACCTTGCCATCTACCAGAAGGGCCAGGGCTGGAGTATTTTTCCCTTTTGTTTCCATCCTGTGTTGGTACAAGGATGCCACTACAAGCAGCTATTGAAGAGATGTTGTGGCTTCCCCCCAACCCTCAACTCCCTTCTCACATAAGAACCTAAGCAGGTTTTAAGAGATAAATGTAATTCATTTTTTCTCTCGAGAGGCTGGGGAAAGCACTCCTGTGATCTGTTGAGCAGCTGAGATATAAAGGTGCCATACAGCTGGAGGGAGTGGTGAGTGTTCTCATCACCTGACCTGCATTTTACAATTCTCAGCACCCAACATATGCCTAACACATTGAGCTCTGCTGACAGGCTGTCTGCTTTTCAAATGGAAAAATATGACCCCACTAGTGAGCACTGCTCTTGAAATTCCAGCCTCAGAGCAATGAAATCCCTCTTGTTCTCCTCTAGGTCTTTTCTCAAAGGGATATAAAAACCTCTGTGCTAAAACAGTTTTGGAAAGGTTAGTTCTGCTTTCCGAATGCCCTACCTTTTCTCCTGTGCCTGACTACTTCCATTAAAGAGTCAGACAGGTTGGGAAAAGCCACTTGTGCAGTCAGAGCAGGGGTGAGTCTCAACTAAATGGTTTGGTCTGGCTCAAGCTTATGACAGATGCTGTAGCAACACTCATAAATCTGATGTTATTGGCTGTCCTTTGCTAGAATTATGTGGTTCATACCATCATCCCTTGTCGCTGGAGAGTTCAGAAGAATGCTTTATCATTTTGTAAAACATTAACATAAGCCTATTAAAATGCAAAAGCATCACATTAATATGGGGGTAAATCACCTAGTCTGGAGCCTTTAAGGCATGCTGTGAATTATTCAATACCATGATAGATTTAGCCAGCACAACATAGCAAGCCTTTGATTAGCCCCAGGATAAATTTTGCGAGGTCATTAAGATCAATATATTCCTTTAAATATACCTTCTACGTGTGAGTGTATGTGAAAGTGAAAAAAAATAAGAAAAACAAAAGGAAAACTGAAGTCTTGTGAAGGACAATCAAAGAGATCTCAGTCTTACAGGTTGTAATAAAACATGGCTGATACCAGACCCAGCTGACACAGCCTGGAGGCAAAACCACTTCTTCTGTTGTCTTGCTTACAGCAACAATTAGGAGAATGGAGTTTCCAGTGAGAAACATGGGCATGAACCCCTGATAGCTGGGTGTCAGAGACAGTTTGTCAAATACCAGGTAAATAAACAAACCTGATTCCAGTGGAGCTGCTTCAAACAAAATGGAAAGCAAACACACTTTCAGCAATATCCAACCACGTGCATAAATCTCATGCACATAAATCTGTTCAGTATTTGTAGAGGAAGAAAACCCATGCAAACAAAATAAACCTAGGTAGGGTATTTGTACGTTCACTTGATTGGTTTTTTTCTTCTTTAATCACAGATTATGTGAAGTGCTGTCTTTTAGTCTCTAATTAGAAATATCACCAGCTAAGGTGAGCCTTTACCCCTGTTAATCTGACCAGGATGTGCATTATGAATAATTTTGTCTGTATCTAGCCTGTCCTGCTCGTTTCTAGCACAGAAAGGAATGCTGTACCCACAAGTGTCTTTGATCAGGTACAGAACCTTCTTGCTTCTGCAAGTGTAATCAACTTCTGCTGTTAATGTTCCTCTGGGAGCTGGTAAATGAGTAGCATGTGTAATTTCTTCATTAGCATACCTGTTTACTCCCAGCTGTGCTTTGGAGTAGATTGGGGCAGGCTTCCCACCCAGCAAATGCAGTTCCTAGATTGGATCCACCACAGTGCTAAGTACCAACCTTATGAAACTTAGGTAACCCATAGTTGTTTATATATGTTTTGGCCTCTGTCCAGCATCAAAGAGGAACATATAGACTCTCTTTTAGAGGGTTTAAGAGCATGCTCCTAGAATTTGTGCATTGGAGGTTGTCACATGCAGATCCACTGCACAGTGCTCAAATTCCCTTTAGGGTGGTATCTGTGCACTGCTGAGTTCAGTGCACAGAGGGGAAATCATTGCCACAGCTCCTTTCCTGCCCTTCCACATGTAAAGTGTAGCATATTGGTAAGGTATATATTGATTTTTAAATTGCCAGAGGACTGAATGCATGTGATACTTTTACACAGATTTCCTGAGGCAGCTTTAAAGTGCAAGTATAGTGAAAGGTCACAATGAATAGAGTATATATGTTAAAGAAATGCTGTTCTTTGGCTCTAACCCACACCTCTGGCACTTCTTTCCAAAAGAATTAGGGAAGACAGTGGACCTGCTAAGCTGCCAGGCAAATTTTAATACTTACCATTTTGAAATGAGTTTCACATGGACATCTATTTTCTCATGTTTTCTTCTTCTCATTCTGCTCACTTTCAGAGCTTTATGGCAAAGCACATTTCTCAAAAGAGCTCCTCCTCCAAAGCACTTGTATCTTTTTTTTGTGATGTTCCTCCAAATTTTCTAGTAGCCTCAAAGCTCTCTCAAAGCTTTTCCTCAAAAAGACTTTACCTTCACTGACACTGTCTGCATCTGTTACAGTGTCATCAAACTTGTAAGAATGCAGCCCTGAAAGATTTTCAGATAGTTTCTAACTGTGCTCCTGAGACATTGGAACAACATGACTGGGTTTTTATGGTGTAAATTACAGAACTGACATGAAAACAGATGAGTTTATTAAAACAGAGTGAATCACTGATGACATTTAAGTCTAATTAAGTCAAGCTACCCAGCTTAATGATTTTGTTCCCGAGGAGGTAACTGTTTGGGAATTCATAATGTTTAACACAGATCTTCTGAAATAGGGTATTGTACCTAGGGGTGCCATTATCAGGGTCTGTAATAGCAAATGGTTTCACTTAAGATGCTGTGCCAAGGAAAATCACAGCAAAATGTATCCCAGTTCTTTGATAATCCAATCCCAAAATGTAGTCATGGTTGAATAAAAAGCAGGGGGTGAGAGTAGGGGCAAAGGGGGTTAAGACTGCTAAAACAAAAATGGTAGTTGTCATCCTCACCTATGAGAGTGCCCTATAGTTTTATGTTCAAAAAATACAGAAGTGAATCATTTATTTTGGTCTCAATACCAAAAATACCTCAAATTAGGGGAAAGCTGTTAAATGCTGACCCTCACAGTGGTGTTCTCCACAGATTTCAAAATAAAAGTTCTTGTTAAATGCTCACGAGTGCCCTAGTTGACTTTTCTTATTTCTCTACTGGGCTGCAGCATTTCTGTCTCTATGCAGCCAAGGCACACTTGTAATTAATTTTGATTTGCAGTCTGTGCCTGCAGCTTAACAGTTCAAGGATATTTTGTTGTGTAAACTAGATACTGTTCCTCTGACATAACTGCTGTTGTACAGAAAACCTTCCTGGAAATTAAACCCTAAACTCCTTCCTTCAGCACCAGGATGACTGTCTGCTTGCTCTTGAAGCACTTGAATAGAAAATTATGCTTATTTCTTCAGCAGAGTGTGTTTAAACAGCCCTGTTATCACTGATGGCACACAAAGGGGCAGTACAACCCTGTATGTTATATCTGCACCTGCTGGGACTTGCAAAAGTCACATCTTCATCTGCATATGGGAGGGATAGGTTGCATATAGAGCTTTTTTCCCCTGATACTCTGCAGTCAGGACAAAGTCACAACTTGATGATAACAAGGACCTTGACCCAGGTCCTCTGGAGGTAGCTATTTACTTTGGGGGTTTGGTTTCTAATTTTTGGGTGGGTTTTGCTGACGACAGTATATGTGGCAGGGAGCAGAACTATAGATCTTGGCACTTTAAATGGTTTTTGATGATTGCACAGAGCAAGAACTATATCTGTAATGCGTCTCTCATCAAAGGGTACCCTTTGCAAGTCTTTGGCTTACTGAAGTTCTTCATTGAGTCCTCTTGGCAAACATATAGCAAGGTGTTATGAGGGCTCTGAAATGCTCTCTGGCAATGCTGTCTTCTAACCACAGATTTCTGTTTAGGGTGATAGGGCATTTTTATGTTACTCAGTTCTGTCATAAGGACTGCAAAGAGTTACATTTCAGAGTTACAATTACATGGATGAAACACGTGCACTTTTGCATACCATTTTATTTGCAAGGTTATCCTCTTTCCTATTTTAATTTGAACAGCATCACTGACTCAGTTTACTCCTTATTTCTACAGCTGTGTGGCAAGAAGCAATAAGCACTGGACTCCAAAACATCAAGTGATGTACTCAGTACTTTACAAATATTGAGTTCTTATTAGGCAATAGTGACCTGTGTACAAAGCCAAACCAAAACAAAAAAGAACCCCAACCCAAAATCTGAGAAACAGACAAAACAATCCCCCATGCAGATATATAAATAAGTAATAAACCTAGATTCATTTCAGTGCATCTGCAGTACGTGAATAGAGCTATCACATTTCTTGCTTCATGGAGAGTTGTCATCTGTTGTGTCCTTACTTCACTGTAAAGTTGTACTGGATCTGCCAAAGCATATATGCAATATTAAACACCACATGCAATGGATGCGTGCACAGCAAATGTTATGTAAACTGTTGAGATAATTTAAAGTCCTAATTTATGTCACTGCACAAATCTCCTCTGTTTGTTTCTCCAGCTAACTTAACCACTCACACAGTTCATTTATTGTTTCAACTGGGAACTTAAGAACTACAGACCCTTTCTAAAGTCAGCAGGGCATTCCTAAATGGACCCTGTTCAGAAGAATGGACATTTATTTAATTGCAGTGCATATAATTTCAGTATTAAACTGCCTGTAAATGCTGTTCCACTGCTAGATTTTGTCCCACACAGAGAAACATAAAATAAAGGGTAATCTGGCTTGATTGGCCAGGAGAGAGGTATAGCCATGAGAGGCTAATATAGAAATAGCAAAGATGTTTACACAGAGAGCTATTTTGGCCAGCTGCCAG